CCCCACGGCTATTTTCTTGTATGCGCTGCACAGTTACTTTTACACAGCGGCGGCAACGGTACAGTGGATTTAATTTCTTTGCTTGTTTCTTATCACGTTGATGTATAAATTCAGTTCATTTTGTAGCTGCAGCGACTAATTGCGCGTTTCCACCGTTCCGCGCAGTCTTAAGGCACAATCCCAATTTAATCTTAAGCCGGAAGACTGAAAAACCATCAGTGTTGGATACGCCGTAAGAACGTTTATAAACGTCTTAAGGAATATCTCAACCTACTTAGTCCTGTTAGTGGTCTTAACAAGAATCCCATTTTTCGAACTTTTATACTACAAATTTTCGCAATTTCACAGTGATTCTCTCGATCGCGCGTGGGAAATATCAGTTTACAATTCCATTTTAAATTCCGTGTTTTAATTAACGCGAAAATATGCCTGATAATATGCGCATCGCAATTTCTATTTGTTTTAATACTTTTTTTTTAATATGTAAAATTTTTTTTTAATGTTATCTTTTTTCCTATTGCTTGTGCACCAAGTACAATAAATATTTATTTCTATTCGCTAATAGAAATAAAGTGAATAAAAGTGTATCATGTGTTTTTATTTATTTTTTTATTTACAAAATTGTAAATTCTTTTCGCAGTGGCCGCGGCGTAAAAAACCAAAAAACAAGAGTCACATATAAATATTTTTGCGCGAATGAGAGTCAATTAAATGGCGCTCGGAGGTCAATAAAATTTCTGTTCGTAGAGTAAAAATTCAATACAGCGGTCTCCATGGTACCGTTTACCGTTGAATGAACAGTAAGGCCAAGTTAAGCTAAAGGCCAAAATCATTAAAGCCATTGAAGCGATGGAAATAAAATTTTACGGTCTTCGTTTCGCTAGTATAATCCTGCACGGAAAATATAAATTGGATTGGAGAATACACACAGTGTATAAAGCTCTTCAATTGACATGTAACATTTTTCTTTTTCTATAGCCAGCAACTAGGGACATAATGAAAGACAGATTTAGAGCAGATAATTCGCATCTATAAAGAAATCTAAAATGAGAGGGCTGACGATGTGCTTGCCAAAAGAACGGGGACACATTAAAAAGTTGCACTTGCCGCAATACACCGTACAGCAAATTGAAGTTTGCCCTCGCATTTTCGGATTGCTCTTTTATTGACCGTGTGGCATACCATTACGACGCGATATTATACCCTGTCTCATTACATTACAGTACATGGGACTTTCGGGTTAATTGCTGCATAAACCCGTATTTTGGACAAGGCTAATGTTAATACTAAGTTATTACGAAGTTAAGACTAAGTTTGGGAGCTAACTAAACCCACTGTAATATACCGTCGTCGTCTCCTTCGCCAGAGCGAAGGTACATAATATTACATCGCCCCGGCTTCTCGCGAAAGGGGGAAGATATTCAGCGCGTATCGTGAGAGAGACAGTAAAAAGACAAGGTTTACATGCCGCGCGATCCGTACGTGCTTCGCGTGATGTCATTAAACTGCTCTGAAAAGAAGAAGAGGGGGGTAGTTAGCGCCCGTATATGCCCCCTGCTAGAATCGTAAATCTAATTTTGCCGCATCCCGGTATTAATCGAACCGAAAACATGTCGAAGCAAATACGGCGGGCGCAACGGTCAAGGACCGTTTGTCGGGTGAATGACCATCGACACATATTTTTGCATTCGTACGAAGTGTAACGCGCGCTTTTAGGGGAAAAAAACAGATGTATTTTTAGTCGTCACGTAATTGTAAATTGAAATTGTTGTTTAAAAAAATTTATTTATCGCTTCCTATTTATTTTTATTTTGTCACAAAACATTGTAATATGTTCCTCTATCTTGTTGTAAGTTACGATACATTTTTCGGTGAAGCCAACAACGTACGAATTTCGAATCTCTAAGCTTCCGGCACATCATTCTTCTTGGGATTATCCCGAAACTACGTGCAAAAGGAGAGAGAGAGAGAGAGAGAGAGAGAGAGAGAGAGAGAGAGAGAGAGAGAGAG